ACAATCTTGATACTGTTCGTCAGTTAGTAGAAGCATTTGTCTTCTCTTCATTATCCTTTCTTGAAAGAGTCATCTTTGCAACCTCTACGATTAAATCGCGAGGCATAAACTCTAGCATAGTAGCAGGAAAATTTAATTTATCTTTGAGGAAGACATTGAGTCCGAGCGAAATGGGACTGAACGTCCATCTAGGCTGTAGCATCTTAGTAAGTTATTTTAGAATTAATAATTTTTTACATTCGCCATGAACAATTTTCTTCTGAGCTTCGTTTACCTACTAAGAATATCAGTTAGATAGAATGGCATGGGCTGCATGGTATCTCTAGAGAACGGTCTAGATCTAATAAGAAGATTGTATCGAGTTTCAAATTTACCATGAAGCTTTGAAGTACTGCACGCCCTCAATGAAGACGTATTGGAAAGCTGATCTATTTATTTGGAAATGCGCTTGAGGTAATACAGTGGTTTTAGCGAAAAGTCACTCTAACCTTTCTAGATTTTTTTAGCAAATTCCTTTACAATGCATCTAGTATTTTCAGCCCTCTTTCTTATTGTAAAACTGGCAAAGGATCGAAAAAGAATTTTGATTGAGCGCAATCAATTTTACATGAATACTGAAATCTTTGTGTTCAAAGTTAGTGTTCAGGTCCTGTCAATCAACAGTGAATTTCTTTTAGTGAATGGTGCTCCTCCTTAGCTAGGTTTCAGATAATTTCAAGTTATTGACTCAAACAAATTCACAGATTTGTGAATGTTTGTAGGGAAGTTGCAAAAAATTAGAAGCAAAATTAAGCGTTAAGAAGGGAATCGCTACTGACCTTGCAAGCAGCTTGGAACTGTTAGAGTAGAGGGGGGAAGAAATGTCGCAAACACTTAAAGCTCTTTTGACGGTTTTTGTGTTCAGAAAATCTAAGACTGGGCTAGGGCCAGTCTTAGTCGAGGGAAAGCAATATGTGCTTATTTGGTGCAGTTCAACTCTGTATGGATTCTAAACTCATTTCAAGGCAGCATATACTAGTGTTTTTCAAATTTACCTGCAATTATAACTTTTCCCATCGTCTGTTCATTCACGACAACTACCGCGACATCATCTGAAGAGTG